AAGGCGATTTCTGGTATGGGGGTAGGTGGGGTGGAAAATTCTTGGGCTATGTGAGGGGGAAGTCTGGGGGAGACAGCTGGGCTACGCCAAGGAGGTCTCTGAGGGAGACTTCTGGAATGTGCGGGATCTGGAGGGGATTTCAGGGAGACTCTGAGGGAGATCTGTAGAGCTTGTGAGGAAGGCTCCTGGAGAAGATAGCTGACACATATTGCTGGAATATATGAGGAGCGGCCTCCGGGGAGTATTTTTGGATGGAGGAGGAGGATGGGGATTCGAGGCCAAAGAGGGGGTTCTCTGAGGAAGATCGAGGAGACCTGTGACGGTCGGGGGAGAGGACGGGGGAAATGTGCCGGTTTCTCGGGAAGACTTTCGGGTCACGGGAGGGGGATGGGGGTTTTCAGGGAGTCCCTGAGGCAGAGTTTGGGGACCAGCGGGAACGCCCTCCAGGGAGGTGTCTGAGGTAGATCGGGGGGCTTCACGAGGAAAGGTCCCCTGACCGGGCCCCTCGGCCGCCCCGAGGGTGTGAGAATCCCGGAGGGAAGCTTCTGAAGCGGCCTGTGAGGGCGATTCGCGGGACGGGTGGGGGGATCCTCTCGAGGGTCGGGGCCGCCGCGGCCCGCGCTCCGCGCCCGCCACCGCCCGCGGCTCGGGGTCCCTGAGGGGGCGGGGCCGCCCGCGCGGCCTGGGGCGCCCTGAGGTGAGCCCCGCGCGCCCCGACCCGCCGCCGGCCCGCGTCCGCCCGGCCTCGCCCGCGACTCACCGCCTCGGCCGCCGCCGCCGCCGCCGCCCGGGCCTCCTCAGGCCGCCGCCGCCGCCGCCGTCGCCCCCTCTCCGGGCCGCGAGCTCCCCTCCCTCCTCCCGCACCGACCACCGCCGCCGCCGCCGCCGCCGTCGCGCTGCGTCACCGCGCCGTGCGTCACCGCCCCTGGCCCCGCCCCGACGGGGCCGCCGCGCGCCGGCATTAGCTTACGCCGCGGTGACGAACGGCGCGCCCGCCAACGGGCGGCGAGGGCAGCCCGAAGGGCGGGAGGTGTGCGCAGAGCAAGGCAGGGTCCCCGCGGAGAGGGGAGCGGCGGGGGCCGAGCGAGGCCCAGAGCCCGCCCCCCTCGCAGCGGGATTGGCCGGCCGGGGGACTGACGGGTAAGAGGCTCGGCCCGAGTCTCGGGCCGGGCGGGCGGGGAAGGGGCGGGGCGCGCGCGACGTTGCCCCGGGCAACGAGCCCGGCGGAGCCGCGATTGGGCCTCCGGCCCGGCAGGGGGCAGTCGGGCCCGCGTCGCCCTCGGCGGCCTGAGCTAAGTCACAATTCCTGACTCAGGCGTTCAAGGCCCGACTCCCCGCCCCGCCCCTACGTCGCCCCCAAGGCCCCGGCGCTGCTGTGCCGGGGTCTGGGATACGAGCCGACGCTCCCGGCTTTCTTACCGCAGCCCCTTCCGAGCCTGTTACTTCGTCTCGCAAACAGGAATGGGATCAAATAGGACAGAGACGCTGCCCACATAGCGCTGGGCCCAAGAGGCCGTAATAAACGAGGCTGTCGCTACTGTTCTGTAAGCTGTTCATTTCCACACTTTCCTGGATCGCTGTGAACTAATGAGAGCGAGGGTCCTCGCCCCGGACGCTCTCAGGGGATGGAGGCATGTGGTCAGAGGAGCTCAAGGAAATGCAGTAGGGGTCGAGGGTAGAGTTCTAGGCAGGAGCGAGGGGTGAGAAATGAACCAAGGCAGATGTTTGGCTACCAGTGGGGTCTGGACTTGACCTGAGGACACTGGAGAGCCATGGAAGTACTTCAAGCTGGCAAGGTACGGTGAGTGGAGGGTTCGGAAAGGCATTTCTGGCTTCTCTGTGGAGGACGGGTTGGAGGGAATAGAACTGGGACACGGGATCCAGGGAGGTAGCTGGGTGGGGGATGGCATTCATGCCAGGGGGGGACGGGAAGAGGAGGAGGTGCCCTTAACTGAATGAACTTACCCTTGCACTGGCTAATCGCAGAGGGGAGAGAGGGAGAAAGACCCAAGACAGGGCGTTCTGACTGGCTCTGTGTGTGTGTTCCCTGAGGAGGAGACCCAGGTCTGATGCTGAGCCCAGTGTGGGCCTCTCAGCGATGAGGTGCAGAGGCTGCACACCCCCTGGATCTGGAGCTTAAGAGAGACAATGGGGCTGTAAAGCAACATTTGAGGATCATCAAAGATGGTAATGAAAGCTGTAGGACATAGTGACCTAGGCTGCTGAGGGTATAAAGGATGAATGGTGGAGACAAGGACCCTAAGGAACCTTGAGAAAAGGGGACATGTCAGGTTTGAGCCAAGGAATTGACACTCTCAACAGACTGCGATGGAGCAGGCAGAGGAGGGAAACCAGGAGAGCCTGGCATCACAGACACTGAGGAGAGGCAAGGGTTGGCGGGAGCAAAGCCCCATTCACTACACACCCCCTACAACCCCACAACAACTGTCACACCACAGAGAATGGTTCATTGATTCATTCAGTGATATTTCTTGAGTACCTACTATGTGCCAGGCAATGCTCAAGGTGCTGGAAATTCAAAGACGAGCATGGCAGGCAGAAACCCCTGCCTTCGTGAAGCTTATATTGTGGTCAGGGGGAATGAACAATAAATAACACACTGTGGGGCCTCCCTGGTGGCGCAAGGGGTTAAGACGCAACCTATGAAGCTATCCGCAGCCACTGAAGCACGAGTTCGATCCCCAGCCAGGGAGCTACCCACATGGCGCAGCAGCTCTCTGCTGTCTCGCCCACTGCTCCCCTCAGCAGTGTATTTCAGTGGATCTGCCTGATTTGCTCCCCACTGTCTCTGGTGAATCATCTCACCCCCCCCACACCTCTGGCCTATACTCCAGTTCTTGTATGCATAAATAAATCTTTAAAAAAAAAACACACTGTAACTTGGTGTTACTTGATAAACATGATGCCAGATAAGGGGATGGAGAGGTGAGGCCTGCCCTGTTTTCGGTCAGAAAGATCCTTTGATCAGGTGAGATTTGAACAGAAATCTGAAGGAGTAAAGGGTGAACCATGAGGGAAAAAGGGATTCAGAAAGAGGGACAGCAGGTGCAAAGGCCCAGTGGTAGGATTATTCAAATAATAATCTGTGCGAGCTGTGGGAGTATTTGAGACAGGGGGTGTCTTCTGACTTGGGTTTAGTTAGAAGCTGTCTGACAATCATGAAGAGTAGAATGGGGGGTAGATTAGGAAGCAAGTTGGGGGGACTACTGGGAGAATTCAGGCAGGAGATGAAGGTGGTCAGGACTGGGGTATGGGCTGCGGAGAGGGATGAAGGGGACAGGTTCTGGTCACACTTTGAAGTTCAGAACTGACAGGTTTTGATGTATATCGTCAGAGGAAAGAGAAGGATCCAGGATCCTCTACGACATCCAGATGGGGATGTCAGGTTGGCGGGTATTGAAGGAGTCTACAGTTAGGGAGAAGTTCAGGTTGGAAAAATGATCAGGGAATTCCCTTTGAAAGCCAGGAGATGAATGAAATCAGGAAAGAAGGAGGATGGAGATGAGCTAGGGCTGAGCTCCGGGACACCCCTCTGTTAACAGAAGGATCAGCCAGGGAAGTTGAAAAGGAGCAGTCAGAGGAGTAGGAGGAACGCCAGCCCGGAGGGGTGTCCTGAGTCATTTCAGGTGAGGGTGTGATGGCTGATGCCAGCTGTAGCTGACAGGGATGGTAGATGAAGACAGAAATGACGCTGCAACTGGTGGCCTCTGCCACTGGTGGCCCTGACGTGGGATGGGAATGAGAGTCTGTGGCAGAGGGTTGAGCAGAGGAGTCGGTTGGGAGGAGGCAGCCAGTTTAGGTGATTCTTTCAACAACTTTTGCTGAAAGGGGAAGGAAATGAAGAGGCAGTGGCCGCACAGAAACAGGGGCTGAGCGTGTGAGATGGAAGAGAGAGTACTGAGCATATAGCTGAGGGGAAAGACACAGCAGAGAGGGCTCATGGATGGCACAGGAGTCGGAGAATGGTTGCCCTTGAGTGGGTGGGAGGGGCTGTGCCCAATGCCGAAGGAGAGGGGCTGAGAGATTTGTCCACTACTGTGGAGGGCGTGGCACCGGGGGTCAGCCGAGGTAGGGCTGTGAATATTCTCATATTTCCTCACTGAAATGCGCAGGCCCTCCTGTGAATTATTTTTCCTTTATATGACAGGATATCACATTGATTTGGGGGGAGAATGTGTGTAAGTAGATTACATTAGCTAGGTTTTTCATTTCAGGATAGGAAGGGGGGCAAATCAAAATGCTTTTAATTAAAAAACAGAGGAGTGGTCTGACAGATGGGCTGTCACTGTCATAGGGTCAGATAGGTTGAAAAACTTCAGGAAAAAATTCGCTGTCGGGCCTCCCCGGTGGCACAGCGGTTGAGCGCTGGGTTGTGAAGCTGCCCGCAGCCTCTGCAGCGCCGGTTTGATCCCCGGCCGCCGGCGAGAGTCCCACATGGCACGCAGACCTCTCCTGCTGCGCCCGCTGCTCCCCTCAGCAGTGTACTTCGTCAGTCTGCCTGTTCTGTTCCCCGCACTGGCTCTGGTGAATTCTCTCACCCTCCCGTGCTTCTGACTGTACCCAGTGCTTGTATAAATAAATAAATCTTTAAAAAAAAAATTCACTGTGGTCTCCTGTCTCCCTTTCCCCATCAACATAATGGCTGAGGGTCTGATCAGCAAATAACTCTAAATTCCCTTTTTCTGCATTGGGATTCAAATAGTCCAAATGGGGGGGGGGAATCCAGGAGGGCTTCCTGGAGGAGGGAGGCAGGCACAAACTAATTGTTAACCTCTACTGTGCACTGACCACAATGGGAGACACATGAAGCTCTTTCAGTCTCACGACAACCCTGAATCAGCACTAAGAAGTTCCTTAGCTCGGGTCACACAGCAATGCTGCATTGGAATCCTGGTCTGAGTGACTGCAAGCCTGGGAGGTCCTGCTTAGAGGAGGGGAAGGAAGGAGGGGGAGGAGCCTTCTGTGACAGTTGTCTCAGAACAGGCATAAACAGGATGTGGTGGTAGATGAAACCTTTCCCCTACCCTACACCCCGCCCCCCAAGTGCTCATCCCCACCCCTAGAAGACTGCAGAACTGAGAAAAGAAGAGACCTGTGGACAGAAAAGTCATGGTCAGGGGCTGGGATGGGGGAGGGGAGGGTAAGGGTCAGGGGTGGGGTTGGGCTGGGAAGGTACCTGGGGCTTCCCAGCTGAAGGACAGGGGCTGGGAGAGGGACCCCACTGTGCCTCAGGGTCTCTCTTGGGGAAGAGAGATGGTGATTCAGGGTTTTGATCCAGGCAAGCAGGCCCCTGGGTCTTCCTGAGTGTCGCATGAGGGTACCGAGTGCAGCCTCTGCTCTGCACCTAAGCTGTGGGTCCTGATCAAGAGCAGCCAGGGCCCCGGGACAGGGCGCATTCTGCGGGCACACACAAGGTCTCACGCGGGCCGTGGCGACCCTTCACCCCATTCGAACATGGCGACATGGGGTTTGAGGAAGGAGGCAGGGGCTGAGGCCAGCCAGGCCTGCTCAGCTCTCTGGTTCCATGCAGTCCGACTCCCTGGTGGTGTGCGAGGTGGACCCAGAACTAAAGGAAAAGCTGAGGAAATTCCGCTTCCGAAAAGAGACAGACAATGCAGCCATAATAAGTGAGTACTATTTGCCTCCATGGAAGGGGCGCCGGGGGCCCGGAGGGAGGGCCGGGCTGGTGGCACCAATGGCTAGGAGGGGCGTCTAACCCTGCTGTGCTCCCCCACACAGTGAAGGTGGACAAAGACCGGCAGATGGTGGTGCTGGAGGAAGAATTTCAGGTGAGGGGCTGGTGTGGATGGACCCCTGCAGGGTGGGACTGGGGGGACTTTTTTTTTATTTTAAAGATTTGTGCATACAAGAGCTGGGGTACAGGCCAGAGGTGTGTGGTGGGGGGTGAGAGGATTCCCCAGAGACAGCGTGGGGAGCAGAACAGGCGGATTGACTGAAATACACTGCTGAGGGGAGCAGCGGTGAGAGGTCTGCTGTGCCATGTGGGTAGCTCCCTGGCTGGGGATCAAACTCAGGTCGCAGTGGCTGGGATAGTGCTAAGACTTTAATCCCTGTGCCACCAGGGAAGCCCCTGGATTCAATGACTTAATCCTTGTTTAGAACATAGTAGATACAGTGGATGCTCAATAAAATCAGAACGATGATGCTAATATCTTATTGGCACTTTAGAGTTCCAGATAACTTCACCAAAAGCTAGCAGAAATCCCCTAACCAAGGGCAGCCTCACCCTCTCTTGGCCTAAAGGTCCTTGTCAGCAACAGGGATGATGATAAGGCTTACTTCCTAGTATGGTAGGAAGGAGCGAGGAGGGGGTCATTTGATCAGGGAGGGGGATTGGCCAGGATCCAGCCTCCCTCACATCTTCGGAAAGAAGTGTAGCAAGGGGATTATGATTTGAAACCAGATCCAAATCCGGACTCTGCTGCTCATTATCTGTGCAAATGAGCGAGTGTCTTTAACTCCACGGGGCCTCAGTTTGCGGACCTGTAGAGTGGGCATACTAAGAGGACTTTACCCCACGGGGTGATGGGATAGCTCAGTGGGTTAATCCACATGTGTTTCTTAGACCAGTGCCTAGACATTTAGTGGTTTTAACAGTGGTCTCTTTCTCTTTCTCTTTCTGTTTTTATTTTGTTGTTGCTCCAGAACATTTCTCCAGAGGAACTAAAAACAGAGTTGCCGGAGAGACAGCCCAGGTATCCTGGGGGAAGACAGGGGAGGGTCAGGCCACAGTGGAGGAGTGATGATGAAGGAGGGACTAAGGGCTTCTCCATCCTGGGGCTCAGGGACCCCATGTTTGATGCCAAGAGTCCACATACGAGACTATTTGTTTACATACTAATATTTTTTTACTTATTTTTTTGGGTCAATTTTTGGTCTCAACGTTGCACTTGCTTCATTTAAAAAACAATGACATTTTGCTTATTTTTCAATGTTTGGAAATGCTTTGGGGAGCAAAGGAATGATCTGGTCTTTTAACGATTAGGGAGAGTCCTGTGGAAGTCACAGGAACCTGGTGCTTTTTTTGTGGGGAGGATCTCTTTGATACTTAAAAAAAAAAAGAGAGATTTATTTATTTATTTATGCATACATTAACTGGGGTGTAGGCCAGAGATGCAGGGTGAGAGAATTCACCAGAGACAGAGTGGGGAGCAAAACAGGGGTATTGGCTGAAATACACTGCTGAGGGGAGCAGCGGACGAGACAGGAGAGGTCTGCTGTGCCATGTGGGTGGGTAGCTTCCTGGCCAGGGATTGAACTCGTGCTGCAGTGGCTGCTGATAGCTTCATAGTGCTGTGCTTAACCCCTTGTGCCACCAGGGAGGCCCTTTCTTTGATACTTTTATGAAAACTGGTCTGTTTGGAGTTTTCATTTCAACTGGGGTGAATTTTGGGGACCCTAGGACTTTGAGCCTCAATCCCAGGTAGTAAGTCTCAGCCAGGACAGTAACAAAGGGCCCCGGACCCAGCAGGAACCTCACACTTTGGGGTTAATCCTCCATAACCACCAGCCATCTTAAATTCTCCATCCTTTTATCTTTGAATTTGAGTTTGGTGTCAAGTCCAATAGGACCATGCTGGGGACTTGGAAGCTTGGATCAAACTCAGTTCCACCTCCCCTGGATGGGTTCTCAGCCACTCCCTCCCTCTCTGGCCTAGTGACCCCTGGCACCCTCTGCTGCAGGCAGGGGCCCGCATGCTGATTCAGGGAGGGGCAGGGGCAGGGTTGGAACACACCTGCTTGACAAATTCCAGGGGCCCTCGTAAGCATCTGTTCCTCCCTCATCACCACCACCACTGCAAGTGTCCCTAGGCCCAAGATAGCATGACTTTAAATATCAAATTTAAGACTTGATCGGGCTGGAGAGAGACTGATGAAGAAAGGAAAAGACTTCCTGCCTTTTGAACAAAGGGCCCCAGACTTGCATTTTATGCTGGGCTAGTCTGAGCCTGGACTCAGTCTGGTCTGGGCGCTGGACAGTACGGTGCAGTGGTGGACTTCCTGCGGTTCCACCCATGCTGAACTTTCTGGGTTCCGATCCTCCCTCCAGACATAGAACTTGGAACCAATGACCCCACCTTTGGGGACATATTACAGATGCCTCAGTTTCCGTATCTGTAATATGGAGATAATAATAGCAGCTATACTCCAGAGTTGTTGCGAGTCAAAAAATAGTCACTGACTGTTATTATTTTGATTCAGTTATTGTGTTTGAAGTCAGTTCTTGGGGCCTCAGTGGTTAACGCAAGGTTTTCCTACTCAAGCAAGATTTCAAGGTAATGGCCGCTGGGCCTGGGATCCAAAGTTCCAAGCTCAATTTCCCTTTCACTGGTACAGGTTCGTGGTTTACAGCTACAAGTACGTGCACGAAGACGGCCGGGTGTCCTACCCCTTGTGTTTCATCTTCTCCAGCCCTGTAGGTGAGACACAGCTTGACCCTTCCTGGGAAGAGGGCCTTAGACACCTGTGTGAAGTGTGTAAGCGTGACTCTGGGAGAGCAGGTGTGAATGTGACTGCGTGAATGAGTGTGACTGTGGACGAGGCTGTGTGAACATGTGCAGGCATGAGTGTGACCGGCCAGTGTGTTGCACAGGTGGTGCGAGTGCTGGGAGGGTAGTGGGGTGAGGTGGAGGCTCAGATTCTTCAAGAGCCCATGGGTTCCCATAATTTCAAGTCCTCCCACAAACCTGGCCCGCCTGAGCTTGACCTCAGGGCCCTCCTTAGAAGACTCCTCGGACTCTTAGAAAAACTGCAGGGCCTGTGAGACATTACTAGGGCCTTGGGGAACACCCTGTGCCCCCCAGCTATGCACCCTCTTTTCCATACAGGCTGCAAACCTGAACAACAGATGATGTACGCGGGGAGTAAGAACAGACTGGTGCAGACGGCAGAGCTCACGAAGGTCTGGGCCTGGAGGCTCTAGAGAGTTAGGGAGGCAGGGGCTGGGGGTGTGGGGGTCGGGGCTCCTGGTCTGGGGGAGAAGGGGGGACCTCTTTTCCTGAGCGGATCATAATGCTGACCTCTCCCTGCCCAGGTGTTTGAAATCCGCACCACTGATGACCTCACAGAGACCTGGCTGCAGGAGAAGTTGTCTTTCTTTCGTTGACCTATGGGTTGGGAACCCAAGTTCCTGATGTCTGAGTCCCCAAAGAATCTGGGGGCTTGGATCCCTAGGACCTGAATGTCTGAAACCTTAGAGGAATTAAAATGCAAGATTTTCAGTTCTGCTCAGTTTCTGTCCTTTTAAATCAATTTCTGTTCGCACTGGGTGCTGGATGGCAGTCCCTGCAGTACCAGTGTCAGGCCAGCAGAGGGCAGGCAGACCAAGTGGACCCCTGCTGTGATCGCGGGTTGGGTGGGGGGGCACTAACGCACACACCTTAGAATAAAGAGAATACCTGTTTTCCTGAGAGAAAGGGAAGGACCATGAGGGTTCCCTGGAGGGCAAAGAGGGCCCAGTCTCCTGGAGGAATTGAAGGACTATGTGACCCCTCAGAGGGGCCATTCTGAAGGGGGGCCGAGGGCACCTGGGGCCTTGAGAGTAAAGGAGGCAGGGGGTCTATTTCTCCTCCTCCCTCTCCACCCCAGCTCTAGGGGCTAGCAGGCATTCGCTTGCACCAAAGCTACTGTCCTAGTGAGTCCCAGACAGGAGGAATGTAAAGGCAAGAAAGCCAGTGCAGGGGCAAACATAATTGCTTCAGGGGCTCAGAAATTGTTGGGGTGGCAGGTTTGCATGGCTGGGTTAAGCCTGAGGACCCTTCAGGGTTGGTCCACCTGCAGGTTCTTCCTTCTACTGGTATCTCTGTGCGTTTGAGTCTCTCAAACTCTTTGTCTCCGAGGGACACTAACTGAGCACCCATAGTGTGCGGGCAGACTTCCCAGATGGACAGGTCTCCAGAGACCAGCGGCTCTTTCTGTCTCTAAGCTTTTCCCCCTTGTCTCTCCGATTGTTCCTCTTTCTGTCCCCAGATTCAGGGACCTGGGAGCTCCCCCTCCCTTCACCCCTTTTCAGGTTCCCTGTAGAGAGGTGGCCGTTGCCATGGTAACAATGACACAGTGACCTTGGGCCCCGGGCTGCCCCTCCTCCAGCCCTGTTGTTCCTGGGGGAGGGTCCAAAAACCCTGCTCTAGCCCTTCCCCCTCCCAGCCTTAGCACACCACCCCCTCCTCACCTCACGCTGCCCCATCCCTTGCTCCCTGGTCCCCAGTCAGGACAAGCCCTTTGCATGAGGGATTCAGGCTAGAACCACTCGACACTATGCTATAGAGAACTCCTTTCTGCCCCCATTTTTCTGTGGGGGGGAAACTTGGGCTTGAGCTCTTCCTTTTGACACTGACCTGCTCCCCCCTCCCCCCACCTCACCTCTGCGATGTCTCTAGTCCTCTCCCTGATCACACACTCAGTCCCTGGTGCTAGAGGCATGAGGAGGTGAAGGATTGAGGATAGGAGGGTCTGTTGTATGAAGAGGTCAAGCAACTCCCAGCCCAGGAGCAAGAGAGGCAAGATAGTGCAAGGTAGGCACTTAGTGATCAAACAAATGATAAACTTCCGATTGAGGGTCTCCTATGTGCCAGGTACTTCTATAAGCACTTTACTGGCATTAACTCATTCAATCCTTACAATACTCCATGAAAAGGGAGCCATTATTACCCCCCATTTACAGATGAAGAAACCGAGGCACAGAAGCCAAAAATATTTGCCCAAAGTGACACAGCTGGTAACCTGGCTGTCCAATGACCACTGCTTTTCATGAGTTAGTGATTTAGGGAACCACACCCTTCTTTTCTTCAACCTATCCCCTCCCTTCCCATTCCTACCACCCCCCACCCCACCCCCGACCCCCATTTTCATTTTCACCCTCCTTCTCCTCACTCCAGAAAGGCCCACAGTAGAACTTCTTTCTGCATCTAGGCTGCTGATTGCAAACAATCCAATGGGAAAAAGGCATGTACGAAGACTTGCCCAATCAGGAGCAGGGAGTTTGACAAGCCGGGACCAACCAAAGAGGATGACTCTGAGGGTCCAATACAGAGTAGGTTTGGCTAGAGGATTGTGAAGGTACCAATCAGAGAGGCCACAGCAGACTATGCTACCCAATGAAGTGTCAGCAGGATGGGGTGTGGCTTTAGGTTTGGGGCTACTCCTCTGAGAGGTGGTTCAAACCCAGACCTCCTCCTCTCTTTCTATGAATCTACTTTTTAGGCTGTTACAGATCCAGGCTCCCCAATATTTTTGAATTCAGGTCCTAGGCTTTCCCTGTTGACCTTGAATGTGACCAGGGGTGATGGTGGACAAAGGCAGACTCTACCTTAGGGCCTGAGAATGGAGGACCTGGTCTGGGCAGCAGAGTCCTAGCTGAAAACTAGAAACGAGGTGGTGGGGGGGGGGTGTGGAGCCTCAGGTGGAGGGGTGGACCTCAGGCTGATAAGTGAGGCTTTCACTTGAGGGAGGGGGGACAGGCTGAAGACTGATTACTATAGATATCAAGGTAGGAGGGTGGGACCTACCATTGGTCTGATAGGGCTGTGTTTGGGGGGTGGTGCCTTAGCGACCTAGGTTTGTAACAGGGTGGTCCCCAGGAAAGGGGGGACCACCTGCCCCTCTCCCTGCCCTGTAACAGGTTGGGGAACAGAAATAAATTGTGGGAGAATTAGATTGGTCAGGATCTACTTCAGCAGCCCTGGGGCAGGAAGTACAGCCCCAGAGAAATATCCACGCTGTCTACTTCCACCTCTTGCCCACTTTTTCAGGCCAACTCTCCTTCCCTGGCCTCAGGGAGATTCTCCAGCTGCTGGGGTCTACCCCTTCTCTTCTGGTGCCCCCAGGCTGGGCTCATGTATATCCTTGAGAGTGGCCCCTGCCGTAGGTCTAGCACCCCAGCAAACAATCAAGAACACATGTACTCCCAGCACCTACTGGGTGCCAATTGCTATTCTGGACACTGCAGAAAATGGGTACCCTTGCACCAATTAGGAGGGCTTCATATCAATGACTAGACAATAAGAAATGAATGATTAAATAACTAAACAATGTAGGTAAACAAGCAAATACAATCTTTACCACAGTGAGAAGTGCTATGAGGGAGAGAAAGCCAGCGGATGGGGGTACCTGTTGGGGGCTAGTTTTTTAATTGCCTCTTTAGTCTCTAGAAGTCTCCTCTTGTACCCCCCTCAACCCCTCAATATTTATTATGAAAAATGTCAAGCAGGAAGCAAAGCTGAAATAATGTTACAGCAAGGGGCCTCCCTGGTGGCGCAAGGGGTTAAGGCACAGCACTATGAAGCTATCGGCAGCCTCTGCAACACGAGTTCTATCTCCGGCCAGGGAGCTGACCCACAGTGGTGTATATCAGTACATCTGCCTGTTCTGCTCCCCACCATGTCTCTGGTGAATCTTCTCAGCCCCTGCACCTCTGGCCTGCACCCCAGCTCTTGTATGCATAAATAAATGTTTGAAAAAATGTTACAGTGAATGCTAATATACCCACCTCCTACATTCTACCATTAATATTTTACTGCCCTTACATCATCACCTCTCCATCCACCTATCCATCCATCCATCTTACTCTTTATGTCTTTCAAAGTAATTTGCAAACATCAGGACATGTGGCAGGGTGTAACCTGGGGGTGAAAAAGGAGGGCCTCCCTGAAGAGACATCTTGAACTAAGACTTGAATGAAAAGAAGAAATCAGCCATGGAAGGTGAAGCAAGTGCAAAGGCCCTGGGGCTGGCATGAGCAAGTATGTTTCAGGATGGAAAAGTCATCACTGTCTCTCATTTCTCTTCTCTTGCTCTGCTTTTCCTCTCCTGTCTATTCCAGATCTGTCCTCACCTGCTTCCCCCTTCACCTCCTTCCCGTTCTGTCTCTATGTCTGTGGCCTTGGGCAAGTGCTTAAACTTCCTGTGGCCCAATTTTTCTCTTCTGAAGACAGGGCTAGTGATGGGACCTCATCTGCCTGCTGTGCAGAATGGACGCAGTCAGAGACGTGAAACCCTTCCTAGCACATAGTAGGGCTGGACATGTGTTGTTCCCTTTTGCTATTATTAGCCCTTTTTCGACTTCTGTCCTCCCAGGCCTGGACCCCCAAGCCCCAGCAGGGAGCAGCAGGAACCAGGGTAGGGGTGGTGCCTGGGTGATGGTGGAGTCTGGGGGATGATGAGGGCCCCTAGGGAGTATCTCATGGTTATGAGTGGGCTCAGGGTTCACCAGGGAAGGGCTCTGCAGGGGTGCCCTTGATGGGGGTCGGGCAGGGCTGACTTGGTGTGATGATATGGCTAGGAAGAATCTAGGGGAGGGGTTTGGGGGAGAAGAGATTTGAAAACACTGGGATCCAAAATGGGTAGCAGTTAGGCAAAGTATTTTGAATAAGAAGGGGCAAGGAATTTGGGGCTCCATGGAAAGCGCATGGAAGGGGGCAGGGTCTGATAGAGAGAAAGAGGGTAGAGGCTGGGGCAGAATCTGGGACAAAGCAGAGTTTCTGGAAACCAAGGGATGCTTTGGAGGGATGATGCTCTGGGGTGTAATGGGGGCAGTGGGGAAAGTTTAGGCTCTCCCATGGGGATAAACGACATTATTTGGGCCTATGTCTAGAAGTTAGACATGGTTTGGAGTCTCTGGTCTCTGTTAGGGGTCAGGGAATGGCTTCAGGTCTTGGAGGGTCAAAGGACATGGCTGGGGTTTCCCAAGAAGGAGTGGCATATGGCATGTGGCCCTGGGTGGCTGTAGGACATGATCTGGGTCCCCAAAGGCAGTAAGACATGATCTGGAGTCTCCCTGGATGTTGACACATAGTCTGGGTTTTCTCTGGATGTTGAGGTATGATCTGGGGTTCCTCAGGGATAGGGTGTGGTCTGGGGTCTACCCGAATGTTGGGGTGTGATTTCACACCCCTGATGGGTATGCTCTGGATCCCCTTGGATGCAGGGACATGGCCTGAGATACCTCTGGATTGGGGGTGCACGATCTGGGGTCCCTGCTGGGGTGTGGGGCAGAGTCTGAGGTCACCAAGGAGAGTAGGACATGATTTGTGGTCCTGGGTAGCTGTGGAAGATGACTTGGGTCCTCGCAGGAGGTAAGGCATGATCTGAGATCCCCCTGGGTACAGAGCCCGGAGATCCGGGGTCCCCAGGCCAGGCGGGGCGTGGTCTGGGGGGGTCCCTGGGGAAGCCGGCAGGGCTGGAGGTGGGGCTGGGGAGGGGTGGGGGGCGGGCCGACGGCTCCGCAGCGGAGAGGGGTCGCCGGCGGCCCGGGGCGGGGGTCGGGGTGCCAGACCGCCCCGCCCGGCCCCTCGGATCGGCCCCCTCCCCCCTTGCGGCGGCGGCCGCGGCGGGGCTCGGGCGGCGGGCGGCGCGGAGGGCGGAGCTCGGCGGCGGCGCGGGAGGGAGGGCGGGAGGCGGGCGGGAGGCGGCCCCGCGGCACCGCGCCCCCTCCCCCGGCCCTCCCCCCACCATGGCGCGGAGCGAGCTGGCGGCGGCGGGGCCGGGCCCCGGGCCCCCCGGGCTGGGTGAGCGCGGCCCAGATCGGCCGGGCGGCGGCGGGCGGGGGCGCCGGTGTGAGCGCGGGTGTGAGCGCGCGAGCGTGTGAGTGTGTGTCCGCGGCGCTGCGGCGGGCCCGGCGTGCGCTCGCGCGGCCCTGTGTGTGCCCGGCGCCGGGTGTGCGGCGCCCGCCCGTGTGGCCTCGGTGCGTGCGGGCGGCGGGGCCGGGGCCGGCCGTGTGCGCCCCAGCGCCGGCCCCTCCGGCGCGTGTCTGGGGGCCGCGCGCCCCTCGGAGGGGCTGTGTGCAGGTGTGTGCGTGGGCTGTGTGCCCAGGTTGGTGCCCCCCAGCGAGTGTGCGCGCGGCCGGCGGCGCTGGGTGCCCGTGTCCGGGCGGACCGTCCCCCGGAGGGTCTGTGGAGCCGGGTGTGCCCGCCGGGGTGTCCATTTGCGTGTGTGTCTGCGGCTGCTACATCGCCGAGGGTGTGTGTCTGTGCGTCCACCTCAGGTTCCCGGCTGGGGGGCTGGGGCTCCCCACCTTGTGGGTCCAGGCCTCTGTGTGGGTTTGGGGGAGGGTAGTTTGCTGCTCCCCAGTCCATGTCAACTGGGGGGGTCCGCAGCGGTCCTTGGGGGAGACGGCCATGTCTTCCCCTTCCCGGTGACTGGGTGGGGGGGATGGGCGCGGGTAGGTGGACAGATGGAGGGATGAGAGGCCGAGGGATGGACAGATGGTCCCGAAGAGAGGGATGCAGACCCGGCCTTCCCCCACCCACCCCAAACCAGTCCCCCCACTGACCAGATCTCCCGCAGATGGGGCCAGAGTTGCCTCCTTCCAGATGGCCGGGCGGGAGGACCTCTGGGCTGCCGGTGGGAGGATCGCTGGGAATGGTGCCCTAGGACTCGGCCCTCAACCCCCTGAGATTCGACCTGCTGAACTCTGACCTCTGGTTCTGCCTTGTGCCTGGCTTTGGTGTGTGTGGGGGGTAGGTTGGGTGGTTCTGGGAGGGAGAGAGATCAGGATTTCTTTGGTTTGGGAAGTAGGTGGGGCGAAGGTGCCTCAGGGCCGGGAGGGATATGTATGTCCCTGATTGTGTGTGAGCGTGAATCTCTGCCTATCTGTTGACTGTGCTACTGTGATACAATATTTTGTGTGCATCTGTAAGTGTGTAAATCCTTACAGGGCTGTTGTATGAACATGTGTCTACTATGAGTGAACATCTTGGAGAGGCTGTGCAAAGGTGGATCTTTCTGTACCTGCGTGTTTGAGTGTGTATCGGCCTTGTGAGTGTCTGTGCACCCTTGTGGTTCTGTGTATGTGTGTGGAGTATGTAACAGCTAGTGTGTGCATTTGTGCATCCGTGACTGACCATGCCTGGGGTCTGTGAAGTTGTATGAGTGTGTCTGGGCATATAAGAGCCCTCACCTGTTTATCTTTGATTGTGCAAGTGAGTAGGTTGTATGTGTGTGCCCCTGGTGTTGGTGAGCATGTGAGGGTATACCTGTTATAGGAGCGTGTACCGGGGTGTCTTCAGGGGGCACATGGGTTTCTCTGTTGTGTGAATGTGCAAGGGAAGTCAAGTTGTACATGTGTGGTTGTGTACAGGTGTGTTAACCTGGAGGGTATATGTTCGCCTATGTTGTGTGTCTGCTATGTTGTGTGTCCTAAACTTCATCTCTGGGGAGTGGGGTTGTGTATGTGCAAACATGCATGTGCAAGGTGCCATGCACACGTGTGCCCGTGTCCCTGGTGCCAAGCTGACCCCGCCTCTGGGCCTGTTGGGATGGGGGCCCAGGTGGCGTGACCTGTGCTATGCTGCGTCCAGCCTGGGGTCCGTGGACACAAGTGTGTTCCCATCCTGGGCCAGGAGCCCGGGGCGGGCGTGTGTGGGAAGTCGGTGTGTCCATGGAGGTTCAGATGTAGAGCTGGGGTTGTGGGCCCACGTGGGTCTGGGCATGTCCACGTAGGTGGGTGTGACGATAGTGTCATGGTGAAGATGGGAACTGCTGGCCTTCCTCCGGTTTCTGGTACTGTCCAGGTTTTTGAAATTGGGGGGCTAGGGTGTGAACTCTGAAAGGAGGAGGCTGGGAGTCTAGAATTCTAGATCTGAAGGAGAAGGGGGTTGGGGGGCCAGATTCCTGGGTCTTGAAACAGGAAGGGACCAAGACTTCAACTCTTGAGTCTGAGGGAGTTAGGAGGGTGGGGTCCCAGACTCCAGGGTGAGGAAGGCCTGGAGACCTAAAGGGCAAGTCCTGGAGTCTTGGGTTGGGAGGGTGAACAGTCATGAGGCCCAGTCGCCCCCGTTTCCTGAGATGACTTCTTGGGTCCTGCTAAGACTATGGGGAGCCTACAGCAAGAGGACTGAGAGAGTGATCTCTCCAGAGACTTCCTTGGCTAGGATGGCCTCTGAGGCAGGTCTCCAGAGAGGAGCCAAAAGGATACTAACAGGGTCGTTTTGTTCCTTTGCAGGTACTGGCCCAGGCCCTGACTCCCTAAAGAGAGGTGAGTGTGGCCTGTCAGGGTGGGGAGAAAGCTGGGCAGCCGCTGGGCTTGCTCTGACCAGTTGGGGGCCTGGAGCCCCACCCCAGTGGGTTTCTGCAGGGTCTGGCCGTGTCCTGAGGGGCGAGGTGCTGGAGGGTGGTGACAAGGTCAGGCTTCATGTTTGGACACGGACTTGTGGTAGAGCCAGGGCATGGGAGGCCTGGGGGGTGGCACCTGGAGCCATCACCTCTCAGGTGGTTTGATGGGTCGGGAGAGGGACATCCCTCATCATTTGTGAAATGACCCTGCGTGGAGAGTGGCATGGACGTGACTTACCATGTTGTGTGTGTATGCGCACGGTTGTGGGACAATTTCCTGAGGGTCGGACCTGAGAGAGAGTCAGAGAAAACATAGATTAATGATGATGATGATGATGATGATGGTGATGATAGTAGCTAACACTGTATGGTGTCTGTCAGGCACTGTTCTAAACGTGATACAGTGCATTCGCTCATTTAATCCTCAACAACCCTCTGAGGCGGGTGCTCTCATTATCCCCATTTTGCAGATGAGCACACGGAGGCCCAAACGGGTGCAGTCACTTGCTCATCGACACTTAGCCAGGAGCTGGAGCGTGAACCTGGCGATCCTGTCTAGGTTTTCTCCTCCATGTTTCATTGCTTCTCGATGAATTGACACTCTCCCTTGCTATTATTCTTTTAGCTTGAGCCCCACTCCAGCTGTGGGAGGGAAAGCCCTGTGCTTCTGTTTCATAGATTGGGGTTTCCAGCCCGAGAGACCCCATGGTCAAGCAGGTGCAGAGCAGGAGTTCTGCCTCCCAGCCCAGGCCCTTCTGCCTAGTACAGAGCACATGCTCGAGGGAGCAAAAGACAAATGTATGTGTGCAGGGCAGCCCTGCAGTGAGGGGGACCTTTTGACCCTCCATTCTCCTCAGCTCAGACACTCTTGCCCTCAGTCTAGCTCTTTCTCCGTGTCTCCCCATCTCTCTTCTCACCTCCATCTGTCTCCATCTCTTTCCTGTGCGTCTCTTCTCTTTGCTTTTATTCTCTCGCCACCTTTCTTTCAGACTTTTCCTTTGTCTCTTTGTCTGTCTGTCTGTCTCTCTCTGAACCTGCTTTTCTGCCAGTCCGTCCTCTCTCCCTCCCCCTGGTCTCTCCCTGTCTCTGCACCCCTCTCTCCAGTTCTCCTGGCCCCCCCTCCCCGAGGCTGAAGGGTCAGGGCCATATCAGGCCATAGACCCAAACTGCAGATTCCCTGGAGATGCTCCAGCAGGGACTGGGGTACAAGGTGGGGTGGGATGAGAACCATTTCGGGGGATGCCCCCTTCCCATCCTTTCCTCTTCACCCCCCACCCACCCTGTGTTGTGATGGGAGCTGACATGTCGTGGGTTGCAGCAGCCGCGCGGGGAATCCCCACCGGAAGGCTTTGCCTGGAGCACAGAGCATGAGTGTGTGTGTGTGTGTGTGTGTGTGTTGGCTTGTATGGGGCCTTGTGTACCCACTGAAGTGAGCACAAAAGTCTGCCTCCTGCTTGGGCGCTCAGCAGGGCCTAGGATGAAACTTGGCTCAGAGGATGTCCCAAGACTAAGAGCGAGACCAAAGTGCTTTTCTCAGTCTCTCCATCTTCCAGCTCCTGCCACTGCCCAAGGTGTGTGTGGGGGTGGGGTGGGGAGGGGTGGTGTTACCCTTAACATTTATTGGATGCTTGCAATGTGCTGGGTCCTGTGTTCAGTGGCCCCCATGACCAACCCCACTGCACCCTTGTAACAGCCAGATGAAGATGATGCAGCTATCATCCCATTTTGACAAATCAGGGAATTGGTATAGGGTCACGGAACAAGCCAGTGGGGGAGTCAGGGCATGAACCCGAGTCTGTTTGATTTCAAAGCCTTTGCTCTTAATCATAGTGCACATTTCTGTGCCTGGCCTATACTGGACAGATGAGTATGATGACTAACATGTATTGACCGAAGCCAGGCGGTGCTCTAAGGACACCATGCTTATGAATCCATTTCATTCTCACAGAGGTAAGGCCTGTTTTTATCTCCATTTTACAGATGAAGAAACCGAGATTCAGAGAGGTTCAGACACTTGCCCGAGGTCACACAGCTAGTAAGTGTCAGCGCTGGAGGCTGCACCCAGGGAGTATGACTTTGAAATCCCCGCCTTACATATTTAATAGGTAGTGGAAAGTTCAGGCTGGGTCAGGGGACACTCCTCTGGGTGGGGTCGGGGGGGGGGACCAGGGGAGTTCTGGGAGCACCTAAAGGAGGGGCAGGGTGGGGTTAGGACACTTGGGGTGGGACAGGGGTAATTTACCAACCAGCATGGAAATAGTTATTAACAAGGTGCGCATGCGAGCTGGTGACTAGTTCTGTCACTGCCCTGGAGGACCTGGTTGTTGGGAAGGGAGGGATCTGGCCAGGCCGGGCTCCTCGCAGGCCATCCCAGGGCCGCCAGGGTGGCGGTCAAGCCCTGCGCCTGGGTAACCTGTCCCCTTCCGCCGCAGATCTCACTGCCCACCGATCCGCCTCCTCACAGCACCATGGCTCCCGGCTCCTGCTCCTTCGCGCTCCTCTCGCCACCGCCTGCTGCCCTGCCCTTTCTGCTGCTTCTCTGGGCAGGGGCATCTCGTGGCCAGCCCTGCCCCGGCCGCTGCATCTGCCAGAATGTGGCACCCACGCTGACCATGTTGTGTGCCAAGACCGGCTTGCTCTTCGTGCCGCCGGCCATTGACCGGCGCGTGGTGGAGCTGCGGCTCACCGACAACTTCATCGCGGCGGTCCGCCGCCGAGACTTCGCCAACATGACCAGCCTGGTGCACCTCACCCTCTCCCGGAACACCATCGGCCAGGTGGCGGCCGGCGCCTTCGCCGACCTCCGCGCCCTGCGCGCCCTGCACCTCGACAGCAACCGCCTGGCCGAGGTGCGCGGCGACCAGCTGCGCGGCCTGGGCAACCTCCGGCACCTGATCCTCGGCAACAACCAGATCCGCCGCGTGGAGCCGGCCGCCTTCGACGCCTTCCTGTCCACCGTGGAGGACCTGGATCTGTCCTACAACAACCTGGAGGCCCTGCCGTGGGAGGCCGTGGGCCAGATGGTGAACCTGAACACCCTCACGCTGGATCACAACCTTATAGACCACATCGCCGAAGGCACCTTCGTGCAACTTCACAAACTGGTCCGCCTGGACATGACCTCCAACCGCCTCCATAAACTGCCCCCCGATGGGCTTTTTCTGAGGTCCCAAGGCCCCGGGCCCAAGCCGCCCACGCCGCTCACGGTCAGCTTCGGCGGGAACCCTCTGCACTGCAACTGCGAGCTGCTCTGGCTGCGGCGGCTGACCAGGGAGGACGACCTGGAGACGTGCGCCACCCCCGAGCACCTCACCGACCGCTACTTCTGGTCCATCCCCGAGGAGGAGTTCCTGTGCGAACCCCCGCTCATCACGCGGCAGGCGGGCGGCCGGGCCTTGGTGGTGGAGGGCCAGGCCGTCAGCCTGCGGTGCCGCGCGGTGGGTGACCCCGAGCCGGTGGTGCACTGGGTGGCCCCGGACGGGCGGTTGCTGGGGAACTCCAGCCGGACCCGGGTCCGGGGGGATGGGACGCTGGATGTGACCATCACCACCTTGCGGGACAGCGGCACCTTCACCTGCATCGCCTCCAACGCCGCGGGGGAAGCCACGGCCCCGGTGGAAGTGTGCGTGGTGCCTTTGCCGCTCATGGCGCCCCCGCCGGCCGCCCCGCCGCCCCTGACCGAGCCCGGCTCCTCCGACATCGCCACGCCCGGCCGACCTGGTGCCAATGAATCGGCTGCCGAGCGCCGGCTTGTGGCAGCCGAGCTCACGTCGAACTCCGTGCTCATCCGCTGGCCGGCGCAGAGGCCCGTGCCGGGCATCCGCATGTACCAGGTCCAGTACAACAGCTCCGCCGACGACTCCCTCGTCTACAGGTGGGTGCGGCGGGCCCGGGGCCTCCTCCAAGCCCGGGGCCCTCCCATCTGCCCACGCCCGGGGCTGGGTTGGGTTCTGGAGGGACATGCAGACTTAGCCGTCTCCTGCCCTCCTTCTGGCTCCTGTTCTGGCCCCTATTCCTTTCCCACTGTTTGTTTCTGTCTTTCATTCCTTGATCACCTCCACGGTGATGAGGACAGTGGCGAGCCCAGCACCAGCCCCACCCCCACCCAGCCCCTGTCATGGGGCTTCTGGTCTACCTCACCGCTGCCAGAGGTGTCTGACTGTATTAACTTGTCTGTTTGACATTGTGGGGCAGGAATCACATGCATATCCTAACAGGACATTTATATTTATAAATTACATGCCAGCCTCCTGCAGCAACCCATTGGGTACATTATGAAAACAGAACAGAAAGTATGAGGAAATATATATTCTTCCCACCCCCCCACCACCCTGGTACAGACAGAGCTGTATGCTGTGGACAGACATTAAAGGGTCCCTTCCTCCCGTCACCCCTATGACTCCCCCTCTCTCCTCGGTCTCTGCTTTCCCTCTACTGCCCTCACCAGGCTGCTGTGAGCAGAGGCTGAGCTGGGCGCTGGGGGCACAGGGAGACCAAGAGACCAGTCCCTGCCCTCACCGAGCTCCCAGCCCAGCAGGAGCAGGCAGATCATTACATGATGAATTATTACCTTGGCCTTGGGCTGTTGGTCCAGCACAGTCTTTTTTTTTTTTTGAGTATGGCTCACAGCCACAGACCTGGCACTTGGGGGGCATCTGATAAATGGTCCTTCTCCCTCTCTCTGCCTCCTACCTGCTCACGGTAGAGCACCTGCTGAATGCTTACTCCTGTGCTTGGCTTCACTTGGGGATGTCAGAGGAGCCAGAGCCATTTCCCTACCTACCGGGAGCCCCAGTTCGTGGGGCTGCTCAGACCTTCATGGAGAACAGGCCTCCTGGCCTCCATCTCCCCATCTCCCAGCGTCCTCTTGGCCACAGGCCTGGCAAAACCCTATTTTGGGTTTGGATGAGTAAATGCCTCTCTTTTTCCTAGTCTTTGTCATCCTCGTTTTCTTCTCTATTCCATTCTGGCCAGCAACCACACTGTAAGTGCCTACTGCATGCCAGAGTCCAGGCTGGGCCCTGGACCTTCTGAGATAGATGAGACACAGGCCTAGTCTAGCGAACAGTATGGCAAACACATGAACAAAACAAACACCTTCACAAGGTACTCCCAAGGATACAACCTCACTTGACCTTCCCAACTTGGCTACGAAGCAATGACAACCCTCCCTCCCATTTTACAGACAGGGAAACTGAGGTTCAGTGTGAGGAGAGTCACTTGCCCAAGGTCACATAAAAAGTGGCAGAGCCGGGATTCCAGTCCTTTACCCTTCCAACTCCTAATCCTGCCCTTTTTTACACTGAACACCCATGTATTGAGCACCTACTGTTTGCCTGGCAGGGATGAAGGGACATGGTTAAGACATTTCTGTAGATAACTCTTGGTTTCTGTGACTTTCCACCTGTTTCTTTCTTTCCTTCTCTCTGTAACCCATGGCTTCTACATGTTGGGGTGGGCCTCAGACCCTGCATGCAGATGTTGATGGTGCTCTCTCCCAAGCTGGGCAAAGGATCCCGGGTCTCTTCCCTTCCCCAGAGAGCCACAGTGCTGGTCCTCTGTCCCCCACTGCAGACTCCTGAGCTGTGGCGCTGCAGGGGTTAACTTCCTCACTGCTGCCATGGGCGGAGGGGACATCCAACCAGAAGGCTGCTCTGCCTCTTGCTTGGGTCCTGCAGCCAATTAGAGACACATGGGCTCAACCTTTCTTAAGGAACCAGCCTCTGTCCTTGAAAAGAGGGGGATCCCTAGCAACTGGTTATTTGCGGGGAGGGAGAAGAGGAAGCCTAGGCTTTCTGAAAGGGGAGCTGAGGGGAAGAGTGTGTCCAAGATTGGACGGGGTGGGTGGCAGTGGTCTGAACTGGCAGGCAGGGGGAGAGTCAGAGAAGTGGCTGGGTCTTTATGAGGGGGCGGGGCCCTTAACTGAAGGCTTTGGTTGGAGGGTGGCTCTTGGAGGTGGGCTTCAGGACCAGAGGTGTCCTGGTGGGAGGGAAGGTGAGGCTTCTGGGAGTTCAGAGGCTGTGGGGAGGAGGGTGTGGCCTCTCTGAGGAGGCGGAGCTCCTGCTGCACATCCCACGCAGATGAGCAGGCAGTCCTTGTCTCTGGTGACCCACTAAGAGCTTGGCAGGAGAGCAGAGCTTGTGAGCTAGAGTGCTGGGCATGCTAATCCATGTGGAAATGGCAGCCCCAGGTTAGCCAGGACTGAACATGGCCAACGTAGAAGGGATGTGCCCACAGAAGAGGGCTGGGCCCCGTGGGGATGCTCTTATACACTGAGGTGGGGTGAGGTGGGGTGGGGTGGGGGTGGGGTGGGGGGGGTGGGGGTGCAACCAGCAGGAGAACGCTAGCCACAGCGAGGGCTGCACTGGGCGAGAAACAAGCTAATAATGAATTATTAAACGCCAACTTTGGGCATGTTAACTCATTCACACTTCACACCATCTCTATGATGCAGGAGGCCTGAATATTCCTGTTTGGGGGGAAATGAGGCACAGAGAGGTTAAGAAACTTACCAGAGGTCACAGAGCAAGCAAGGAGCAGAGGAGAAACTCAAGCTCTCTGGCTCCCACACATTGTCAACTTCACCACTTTCCTACATTGCCCCTCATTTGAGCCCAGGGACCTACAGGAAGAAGAGGGCTGCCAGCTTGGCTATATTTGCGTGGCTCAATGATGGATGAAACTGACCAGGAGGTATGATTTCAGGCAGTCTAGGGCAGGGCGTGCACACAGAGTGGTGGCTTCTGATGTCTGGACAAGGAGCAGGACATACAAAGAGTGGACATGGTCCTGAGAACAGTTGGAGAACCATCTCCAGTCCTTACGGGGTATGGCTTTGATGCTACCCATCCCCAATCATAAAGCGAGTGGCCTGTAGCCATGGCCCCTTAGTGGGTGGGAATTTGTAGTCCCGGGACTTAGAAATTGTCCCAGAAGACAGCTTCAGTGAGGAGATGTATTTACCCAAAGATGGGACAAGCAGATGGGGGGGGGGGGGAGGAGATCTGTATCTTGTTTGCCTTGTAAGGGCAAGGATGGAAGACAGAGCTAGGAGCACCTCCATTGTCCCCATAGAACTAAGGCGGGTGCTGTAAGTTCACCTGTGTCTACTTGAGTGAGGGTGGGGACTGGATAAAGGGGTGTGGTATGGGGTGTCCTGGAAAGGGTGGAAATGCATGCATCAGACAGCATGAATGGCACACTGCTTGGGGGATGTCCCTTGAGGGCAGGGCCTATGCCCTGAGGGAATGTGAATGCAGATGTCCTAATAACTGCTGGGAAAGGCAGGAGGTAGGTGGGGGCTAGGGGGGAGGCACACAGAAGAGGGGCATGGTGTGGAGCTAGGATCCTGCAAGGGCGGGCACTGTCTCTTGAACGTCCGCTGCTGTCCACTAGGGGGTGAGATCATGGTGGGGATTCCTAGTTTGGTCCTTGTGATCCCAATGCATGCGTGGGACATGCGAGTGAAGGGCGTGTTTCAGAGTGGCGCTAACCCACGCCGACCCCGCCCCTCCTGCAGGATGATCCCATCCACCAGCCAGACCTTCCTGGTGAATGACCTGGCGGCGGGCCGCGCCTACGACCTGTGTGTCCTGGCCGTCTACGACGACGGGGCGACCGCGCTGCCGGCCACGCGAGTGGTGGGCTGCGTGCAGTTTACCACCGCGGGGGATCCGGCGCCCTGCCGGCCTCTGAGGGCCCACTTCTTGGGCGGCACCATGATCATCGCCATCGGGGGCGTCATAGTCGCCTCGGTCCTCGTCTTCATCGTGCTGCTCATGATCCGCTACAAGGTCTACGGCGACGGGGACTCCCGGCGCGTCAAGGGCGCCTCCCGCTCCCCGCCGCGGGTCAGCCACGTGTGCTCGCAGACGAACGGGGGTGCGGGCGCCCCGCAGGCCCCCGCGCAGGACCGCTACGAGGCGCTGCGCGAGGTGTCGCCGGCCGCCGCGGTGGCCGTCGAGGCGAAGGCCACAGCGGCCGAAATGGCCTCCGTGGAGCCAGAGGCGGCCCTGGGACGCTCCCTGGGCGGCTCGGTCACCTCGCTGTGCCTGCTGCCGTCGGAGGAGGCCTCGGGGGAGGAGTCCCGGGCGGCGGCCGCCGGCCCTCGGAGGAGCCGTTCCGGGGCGCTGGGGCCGCCAGCGTCGGCGCCCCCAACTCTAGCCCTGGTTCCTGGGGGGGCCTCGGCCCGGCCGAGGCCGCAGCAGCGCTACTCGTTCGACGGGGACTACGGGGCGCTCTTCCAGAGCCACAGTTACCCGCGCCGCGCCCGCCGGACAAAGCGCCACCGGTCCACGCCGCACCTGGACGGGGCCGGAGGGGGCGCGGCCGGGGAGGACGGAGACCTGGGGCTGGGCTCCGCCAGGGCGCGCCTGGCCTTCACCAGCACCGAGTGGATGCTGGAGAGCACCGTGTGAGCGGGGGCGGCGCCGGGGCGCCTGGGCCGAGGACCAAAGCCCGGCCGCCCGGACCCGGGGCAGGACTCGAGGAGAAAACGCCTCGCCGAGACCTCGCACTCCGGGGGAGACGCGCCCCTCGCCTCCCTGGAGTGGGCGGGGCCGCCTCAGGCAGGGGCTGGAGGCCGCCTCCCTGCGCCCCGAGGCGCCCCAGGAGTTGGGGGCGGGCCGCCGGGCTCCCCGCCCCCGCGAGCCCCTCCCCCTCCTGCCCCTCCCCCCGCGCGCTCGCGGACCTCGCTGGAGCCGGTGCCTTACACAGCGAAGCGCGGGGAGGGGCAGGGCCCCCCCGACACTGCAGCACTGAGACACGAGCCCTCTCCCCCCGCCCGGGACCCGGGGCAGGGGCGAGGGGCCCATTTCTTGTATCTGGCTGGACTAGATCCTCTTCTGTCCCGCGGCGGCCTCCAAAGCCCCCAACCCCACCCTATTCACCTCTTCGGTCCCGTCGGGTCTGGCTTGGGGTCGGCCTTTCCGTGTTCCCCTCGTTCGTTTCTGTCTCGCCCTCTGTCGTTTGTCTTACGTCTCTGTCCTTCCCTACCCGTCTCCCCTGCCTCTGTGAAAGCGTTGTCTCCCCCCGACCCCCCCACCCGACCCCCGTGTTGCGTCCCGTCCAGTCCCCCCGTCTCTGGAGATGACCTCTCCCCACTACACACTGTCCCGGGCAGGTCCCACCAGAAGGACCAGACTCATCCCTACTTCTTCCTCTTTCTTCAAATAAAGCCCCACATGAACAAATCCAAAACCAAATCCCCCTCCCTACCGGAGCCGGGACCCTCCGCCGCAGCAGAATTAAACTTTTTTCTGTGTCCGAGGCCGCCCTGCTGACCTCTGTGTGTGTCCGTGTGTTTGGGTGGGGGAGGGCGGGCGACCTCGATTCCGGGGTGAGGATTCCTAAGTGAAGGGAGGGCCGCCGACTGGGACCAGGGAGGCTTGCAGACCGGCTCCTCTCCTCTGAGAGACTTAAGAGGTGGGAAATAATAAAAATAAAATGATAAGAGCTAACATTTAGTGAGTGCTTACTATGTGCCAAGCACTTAAATATTTAATTCTCACCACCACCCTAGGCCATCAGAACTGTTTTCCCACGTTACAGGTGAGGATTGTGATACCCAAGGTCACATCCTGCGGGCGGTGGCCCCCTGGGATTTAAAAAGGCAGCCACCTGCCTCCCGCCAGAGCAGCTCGGGCTGAGCAGTGAGGGAATGTTCTTTCACAGACAGGCATTGTGCTAAGCACAGCTCATCTCGGAGATCAGACAGCTCTGTGAGGTAAAGATCTTTGGTCCCATTTTACAGACAGGAATCTCAAGCAGACACCCCGAAGTCACCTGCCTAAGGCCCCCCAGTGTAGCAGTAAGGGAGCAGGTAAAGAGCTCAGGGTCTGTATCTCAGCCACACTACCTTGCTTCTGGTGTCAGTATCTGGGGCTGGAGAATAGCCCCAGGGGCCTTAGCCCAGCAAGGGTCTCGGGAGCAGCCTGGGGACAGGGTGGGAGAGGGAAAGCGCTCATTGGTCACTCTGTCTGGTCTCCGCCTAGGTGGAGAAGGGGCAAGCTGTGGGCATGAAGGAAGGTGTGGGGAGAGGAGCTTCTCAGGTGAGACAGGATTGTGGATGGGGGGTGGAGGGGGGTGGAGGGGGTGCCCCAGCTCTAGCAGGGGTCCCTGCAGTGAAAGTCCTTCCTGATCCTGAGGAAGAAGGAGGAAGGCTTCCTGCCAGCTAGTGCCCCCTGAGGCCTGGGGAGGAGGAGAGAAAGACAGAAATAGCAACTGAGCAGGAGGGAGGGGGATGGATCTGGGCAGATAGGGTGGGAGGCGGCAAGGACAGAGGCACTGGAGAATCACAGGCCCGGTCGGCTCCCTCACCCAGCAGACCAGCCACACTTCCCCATCAGTCATCACGACTCCCGGCGCTGAGAGCTTCCCACATGCCAGGCCCTGTGCTTACAAACCCTCCCTGATGCACGAGTAGAGAACATGCAACCCAGCCCGTGTATGTAACACAAAATGGAGTTACTCAAATAGCAAGCATGATTGCGTTTATACCTTGCAGCCAACTGTTTATCGCTCTGCGCCCACCTTTCTAGATCAGGAAGCAAGTTCAGAGAGGCTAAAGTGCCTGCCCAAGATCACACAGCCGGTCAAGTTTACTCCCTCCAAATCCTGTGCACCTAACTGTTGTCTCTGATTCTCTCAGTAAACTCTCTGGAGCAGAGGATACAGCAGTGAGTAAGCAAAACAGAAACAAGAACCCCTTGCCCCAAGGAGCTGCTATTCTCAAGTGGGAGACGGTAAAGAAGCCGGTGAATGATCAGAGTTTGGTGAGCAGAACGGTGCTATGGGAAGTAGTGACAAGACAGACCAGCCCCTCCCCTCATGGCGCTCAGACACGCACATGGTACAGGAGACAGGAGGCCCTAGGAGCTGCTGGCCCCACCCTGAGGTTCGGGAGGGGCCTCCCTGGTGGCACAAGGGGTTAAGTCTCAGCATTATGAAGCTATCTGCAGGCACAGCAGCATGAGTTTGATCCCCAGCCAGGGAGCTACCCACATGGCACAGCAGACCTCTCCTGCCACCCGCTGCTCCCCTCAGCAGTGTACTTTGGTCCTTCTGCCTGTTCTGCTCCCCACTCTGTCTCTGGTGTATCCTCTCACCCCATCACACCTCTGGTCTGTACTACAGCTCTTCTATGCATAAATAAATAAATCTGTTAAAAAGAGGAGGTTCAGGGGTGGGTATTAGTCAGATTCTTTCAGTAGCAAGTGATAGGAACTCAGCTTAACTGGTTTAGGCATAAAAAAACAGGCATTTGTTGGCTGTGGAAGGTGCAAGACAGACAAAGGTGAAATTCCCTAGAACTTGGCCTCAAGTTCTGAGACAGGCCCCAGACTCGACTCCACCAAGACATTCTTCCCACTCTTTGCTCTGCTTATTTCAGCTCAGAGTCATACCTTGGAACCGCCAAGGTGGGCTAAATGGTCATTTATTTACAAACACAGACTTGGTCCTTCCTGCACCATAGCCCACAGGCAAAGTATACCAAGTCCTAAATATACCCCAGCCCTAAATGAAGAAATTCCGGGCAAGGGCTCTGATTGGCTGGACTGGGGTCACATGCCATCCCTGCACCATGGTGGCATCCAAGGGAATGGAAAGCTTTATTGGTGTTTCATTTATTGGCCAGGTCGGGGGCATATGTCAGGTCACATGGCACTGGGGGTAGCAGGGAGAAGAGACAGCTAAAAGATTAGGTTGAACTATACGAAATTGCCAGGTTTTTTTTAGGTCAGAAGGGATAGAAAATGGGCAATTTCATGTGGTTGAACCTGAGTAGTCACCGAAAAGGTAGGATGGCAAAGTTTGATGGGTTTATGAAAGCAACGGAAACCCCAGTGTATCACTCAGAAGGAATTTTGGAGGCGGTGATATTTGCTGAGACATCGGGGATGAGTGGGAATCAGGCAGGTGAAGCTATTGTGGTGGCTGGGGAACCGTGGGGCACATTCCAAGCAAGGGGAGCAGCTTGCGCAAAGGCTGTCAAGGGGGAGGACAGGGAAGGCTTGTCACTGTGCTCTGACTGAACAATCCAGAGTCACATGTCCAATGGAATGAGGAGCTCATTCCCCAAAGGAAAAGAGAGGTGCTTTACCAGGGTGGGTGACAACAAAACAGCAAATTTCTTTTGTTTTTCTTGACTTTAGCAGAAGTTTGCAACCTTATTTCCATTACATCACTCATATTGAAGAGCGTCCTAAGCCTGAAATCAGACCTGTCTTATCTGATTCAAATTTTTATTATTAAAAATGAATAAACCATCTTCTCTGGGTTGTGTGGTGGGCAGACAGACATGGATTTATGAGGGTACATTTTGCTACAGGAAATAGAAAACTCAATTAACATGACTGAAGTCATCTGGTTCTTTAACAAGTCAGGAGTTAGGGCTGTTGGGGTTTTGTGCAACAGCTTATTAATAAGAATCCAACCCACCAAGGACCAGTTTCTACTTTTGTTCCACCTTTCTTAGAAGAACTTCATATTCTAAACTTGTTGCTTCATGGTCACAAAATGGCCACCACAGCTCCAGGTCTCACATCCTCATCCCAATGAACTAAACAGGAAGGGACAAGTTGTTTCAGGGAAGAAAAAATTCTAAAACAGTAACAGTAATAGCAGTAAACACATATATGGGACTTGACCTTTGCCAAGAATTATTTTCAATTCTTTACATAAACAAACCCATTTAAGAAGCCCTTTAGTCTTCTAAAAGCAGGTTTTGGGCACTTGGTATTGGGCAGTGGGGGCGGGGGGAAGAAATTCATACCCTGCCCTGGGTACCTTGCTTCCCCTCAACCCCCAAACTGGTGTCCTGTCACTTACAAGCTGTATAAATAGTGGTGGTAGGGGGGAGGCTATGCTAGTGGTGGCTGCAGGCCAGCCCTCCCCTCTTTGAGAATGCAAAGGAGTGAGATTGAGAAGATGATGGAAATGATTCTGAAACTCCTGTAATGTGCCCCAAACTCAGTCATTCAGAACCTTAAGGAGCTTCCTCTGGGTAACATGTTTCTTGGGATACATGTCCCCAACGGCTTATGATGGACCAGTGGCTGTCACACTGTCCCAATGATCTAGTGCTTCATATGAGAAGCAAACTAAATGGCATCAAACAAAATAAATGATTTTAGGATGCACCCAGATTGTGTGGATGAAGAACCTGATCTCAGCAAGGTGGGGTGGGGATCGTCTGGACACTTCTTCACTCACGTGTGTGAGCCGGATTGACTGTGAAGCTGAGTTTTGCAGCTCCTGAGCTCCACTGGGACTGTCCACAGGAGAGTGTCCACGTGGCCTCTCCATGTGGCCGGGAGTTCTTGCAGCCTGGAGATCAGGTTGCAAGAGGCCATGTCTTGAGATGGCGCTTTCTCAGAGAGCCAGAGGGACATGGTGTGGAAGTCCCCCCCTGCACTTGACTTGCCTTGCTCTCTGCTCTACTGAGTTGAAGAAGTCAAGTTAAGTTTCAATGAGAGGGTAACACGCACTCTACCTCTTGGGGGGAATGTCAGAACCTATGGCCCCCTTTTTTTTTTAAGATTTATTTATGCAATCATAAGCTGGGGTGTAGGCCAGAGGTGCAGGAGGGTGAGAGGATTCACTAGAGACAGAGTGGGAAGAAGAATAGGCAGATGTACTGAAATACACTGCTGAGGGGAGCAGTGGGGAGACAGGAGAGGTCTGCTGCGCCATGTGGGTCAGATCCCTGGGTGGGGTTCAAACTCATACTGCAGTGGCTGTGGATAGCTTCATATTGCTGAGACTTAACCCCTTGAGCCACTGGGGAGGCCCCCCCCACTTTTTAAAGCCACACCTATCATTCTTGCACTGGGGGTGCCAGTGAATGAGTTAACCACGGTATGCTGAGCACTTTTTGGAGCTGATCCTGAATATACACCCACCCCACCCCCCAATTAGGTGCTAATTCTTTTGTTCCTGAATTGAGGAAGTTCTCTGGCTATTAGCAATTTGCCAAACTGGTATAAAAGCATCTCAATATTTTAAAAGCATAAGCAGTACTACCCTTTGGAGACCCACTGGATATCAGTCCTGCATGGATACACAATCTCTATGCCATTTTAGGCTGCTACCTAGCTGTCTAACTCAGCTCCTACCTGCAGTAAAGCACCAAGTGTCTTCCTTGGGGCATTTTTTTTCAGGATTGGGATCCTCCGCAGCCTCAGGGATGAATCAAGTCTGACTAATCTTTGTGATTACATCTTCCTGGCCAGTGACTGGCTTAGACTTGGGTTTGGCTGAATTTGAGCTAGTTCCCTTCCAATCTAATCAGTTCTCAGAACTGATTTTCCTTGCTTTTAAGAACCATGGAAGGAGAATCAAGGTCCCATATTGTGGAGCAGAGGCTCCATACTTGTCTAACTTAGTGGCCCACAGAATGCGGGAGCTTAATAAAATCGTTGCTGTTTAACTCCATTCAGATCGGTTAGCTTGTTGTGCCTTGGGGTTATGTTCTGGTGTGACTGCTGGAGCTGCAGCTGCTGTCTTGAGACCATGAGGTAGCAGAGTGAGAATCAGTCAACAGAAATGGGCAAGGACTTGCTTCTCACATTACTACATATATGAATGAATGAATGAATGAATGAGCCAGTTCTAGAACTGTCCTGACTACTGACTTTTTGTGGATAAACACATTTTTTTTTAAAGATTTATCTATTTATACAAGCACTGGGTACAGTCATAAGTGCGGGAGGGTGAGAGCATTCACCAGAGCCAGAGAGGGGAGCAGAACAGGCAGACTGACGAAATACACTGCTGAGGTGAGCAGCGGGCACGGCAGGAGAGGTCTGCGTGCCATGTGGGACCCTTGCTGGTGGCCGGGATCAAACTGGCGCTGCAGAGGCTGAGGGCAGCTTTGCAGCCCAGCGCTCAACCTCTGTGCCACCGGGGTAGGCCCTAAACACATTTTGTTTTACCTATTTGAATTGGGTTTCTGATTATTACTACAGGATAAAACCTCTTGATTGAGGTAGACTCCCTCTATTCTGGGTATCTAAGTCATGACCTACACAGGATGGGCTGTGGGCCTGATGGCGTTCGCTCCACCTAGCCTGGCTCTACTTTCTAGGTTTGGGGAATTGTGCTCTATGACTTTTGCAAAATGATGAACGTGCCTAATCATGCATTTCTCAGGATGTATTTATCATCAAGAGATAAACATCAGGGGCCTCCCCGGTGGCGCAGCGGTTGAGCGCTGGGTTGCGAAGCTGCCCGCAGCCTCTGCAGCGCCGGTTCGATCCCCGGCTGCTCCCCGGCCACAGAGGAGGGTCCCACATGGCGCACAGACCTCTCCTGCCGCCCGCTGCTCCTCTCAGCAGTGTACTTTGTCACTGCCTGCTCTGTTCTCCACTCTGACTATGGTGAATTCTCTCACCCTCCCGCGCTTCTGACTGTACCCAGTGCTTATATAAATTAATTAATTAATTAAAAAAAAAGATACACATCAGTACAAGGAGCCAGAGAGATGTGCAGTTCACATGACATCACATAAACAGCTGCGTATAGACACACGCGTTTATACACACATGGCCACGGATACGCCCCGAGATGCACCTTCAGTGACAGTCGGGTCAGGCACACAAATACACAACCTCCTGAGGATTTTGTCCACGCCACAGACATCCACATTTGGTCACAAACTCACATTCGTACACACACACTCAAGGATTCACCTATCACAGAATGGTCCAATTTCTTATTATTTATTTGTGCAAATTGTATAAAAGTAGAAAAATAAATCTTTCTTTGGGGCCTGAGAGCTACAGATCCATAAATAAAGGGTGAGGGAAATAAGTTAAGGCTGGATGGGGCTTAGTGCATAAATAAGGTCTGGCACTGTCGAGGGCTGGGGGGGGGCAAGTTCTCAGATGCACTGGTCTCCAATGGCAACACAGTTTAGGTCCTTTTTGAGGAGGTGGAAGAGGTTGAAGGTGACAGACGCCAGGAGGCACTCTGGAGACTCCTGAGAGAGAGATTTGAGAGGGTCTTCCATCGTCCTGGTGCCTCTCCTCCCTCACCCAGGGCTCAATCATCCTGTGCCTTCTGAACCACTCACCTTCTTCTGGGCCTCCCGGAGCCGGTGCAGCCAGTGGTGGAGGTGGCCTCGGGGCCGGGTGCCTGCTGCGGGCTGAGCTGAGAGCTGCGGGCACAGGAGGGGGTGTGAGGTGGGTATGGGCCAGGAGTGAGGTCCCTAGTCCCAGAGCCAGGCCATAGTCCCCAGCACTCACGCAGGTCTGGAGCTCCAAGTGGATGTAGTGCAGCGTGCCCAGGGGCTGGTCCAGGACGGCCTCCAGGGAGGAGCCAGTCACATTGCCCAGGACCTTCAGTGTCAGGGCCACCTCGGCCTCCAAGGCCACGGGGCGCTCCCACACCTCACCAGGGGACACAAGCGAGTGGGTGGTGAGGTGCAGAGCTCAGGTGAGCAGGACAGGGCCAGGGGCAGATAAGGGTGAAAGTCGGGGGACAGCTTAGAGGGCTTGGCCATGTGTGGGTGAGGGGCAGGGGGTGCAGGGCGGGCAGGCAGAGAGGGACTAGTGGGAAGGCTGGGTTAGGGGCACCAAGGAGCCAGGGTAGGGGCCAGGCGAGGGCGGGGCGCCCGGCTCTCCCAGCTCACCTGCAGCTGCCTCAGGTCCCTGGTCCTGGGGAAGGGGCGGGAGCTGCAGTTGCAGTCCCTCAGCAGCAGCCTCTCTTCCTGCAGAACAATGGCCAGGTCAGCCCAGCAGGAGGGAGCTTGGCCACAGCAGGAAGGGAGGGGCTAGCCAACAACATGGACTTACCAAAGCATCCTTGGCTCTCCTGAAGGCTGTCACCTCCCTGGGCGACAGAGAATTGAATCTGCCAAAGTCACAGCTCCTTTTGGTGGTAACGGGCTTGGAAGTGGGGACAGGACCCGCTCTGGCTGAAGCCAGAGCAGTCACGAGCATGAGGATCCAGACATAAGCCATGGTCAAGCGGTACCTGCTTTCCCGATGGCATGGCTGGGCTTTTTAACCACGCTGAGCGAGCCTCTGAGCCTCTGATGTACGTAAAGCGAAAAGGCAAAAGGAATTCCCAAGCTCCACCTGCTATTCGAGATGAGCTCACAGGTGTGACTGCAGCCAGGTAAGTCCGGAGTTATGTGGGAAAGGAAAGTGAAATTAAATTTCCATTTCGGAAGGGAACCTGAGTCGTCCCTGAGCCCAGCTGGCAACTCCCTGGGACTTTGGGGAGCCCCTGATTGAGGTGGAGGCAGTGGAGGTATAGGAAGAGGCTGGACTACTATCAGAGGGGCGCAGGAGTCTGGCGGTGTTGGGGGGGTGGAGTGGGGGTGGCGAGGCTGTGTGCCTGGCAGAGGGGAAACTTCCCCTATAGGTTTAAGCACATTCCATGAACTCATTTTATGTCAAACATTCCCTTGAGTACTTCTTTTTTGATGATCCCCATTTTATTTACTTTATTTATTGCAGAAAGCAGTTTCCTGGTTTTATTAACAACACACACACACACACACACACACACACACACACACACACACACACGAGCTGGCTATTCGTTCTCTTTGCTACACAGCCTGGCGTTGGGTCTGGGGGAGGGTCGCGGGGTTGGGGGGGCTGGCGGCTCCCTCCACAAAGGCCTTGGAGGAGACCGTGCGTGATGTCTGCGGACTAAGGTTTGTTGCACACCAGCCGCACTTCCAGCTCCTTGACACGATGCACCAGGAACTTTGGGAAGCCACGGGGCTTTTTTCTAGTTGCTCCCATAACCAATGTTAGGCTTCAAGATCTGGTGCTTGAACCTTCTGCGCATCCATCGATCCACGGATGCCTCTGGGTTTCCACCAGCTATGCTTGATTTTGATGAGTCGGTCTGACTGGTGCTGAATGACTTGGCCCTCTTTTTGATGATCTGGGGCTTCCTGAAGGGTCCGAGGACAACCTGTGATGCCGAATGGGAGACGACTGTGCCGAGGTTCATCATTCCCATTTTCCCAGGGGGAAACTGAGGCACAGGAAGTCAAGGTGAGCTGCCTGAGGTCCCATAGCTGGTTAAAGGCAGAGCTGGGGTTTGAACAGATTCCCTGGCATTTACTCCACATTCTATACACAGTCAAAGGAGAAGCGGGGGCCTCTGGCAACCCTAGGCATCTAGTTCTGAGGGGCTGCCCGGGGATTCAGCAGTGAGGAAAGCTTCCAGAAGCAGGCAGAGTCGGTCTGGGTGGTGCCATCGCCCTCTGCAGTAGCGCCAGCTGTGTAGCAGGATGGAAGTAACGTGCAGGCACTTCATATTTCCACACCTTTCTTGTTTTCTTGGTCTTTATTACATTTTAGAAAGACAGGTTTATAAGAAAAAAGAGAAAGGAAAAGAGGCAACTGCAGTCACAGGCGGGCAGGAGAGCTCCTTCTTGGTGCTTAGGTGCAGAAAATGATCAATCACATTGTGCAGATCGTAACACAGAATCACAAGTGGGCCGTGAAAGACGCTCTAAGGTTTGACCCTGCACCTCCAAGCTGAACCCCATGCCTCCCTCACGGGAAGCCACTTTCATGCATTTGCTGTATCACAACAAAGATGGAGCTTTATAATTTGTGATTTTGTGTGTATACATGTGTTGCCAATTTACATAAATGGGATTGTGCTATAAATCAACTCTATTTCTTCTGCTTGTTAAAACAATACTATTTCTTTTTCTTTTAAAGATTTATTTATGCATACAAGAGCTGGGGTGCAGGCCAGAGGTGTGGGGTGTGAGAGGATGCACCAGAGACAGAGCTGGGAACAGAACAGGCAGATCTACTGAAACACACTGCTGAGGGGAGCAGGGGCTAGACAGGAGAGGTCTGCTGTGCCATGTGGGTTGTTCCCTGGTGGGGGATCAAATTTGTACTGCAGTAGCTGTGGACAGATTCTTAGTGCTGAGACTTAACCCCTTGTGCCACCAGGAAGGCCCAAAACGATGCTCTTTTATAAGATCTCTCCACAGAGTGGTGGACGTCAAGTTCTCTTTTTTACCCACTGCATTGTATTCCTGGTGTGCACAGCATTTTTACTTAGCTGTTCCCCACGAGGTAGACCAGAGGTTGCCTCCAGCTCCCCCACCACAAGGCTCATATGTGTGCTCTGAGGGAGGTTGTCCGGGCTCTACAATGGCATAGCTGCCAGCGCGCCCACCGTACCCCTCGGCTCATCTTCCCCGCTCCCTCACAGACATGTTGAACAGTTCCCATACACGACCATAGCTTCCCCGCCCCCTCATGTCTGTATCTTTCCGCTTCTTCTTCTGAGGTCTTTCTTCTGCCTGCTTGCAAAACAGACCAGAAGCACTGGGATTAATTCCTGCGGGGCAATTCTCTACCAACAAAGGTCAGGAGCCGGGGAATAAATACAACTGCTTCCCCTTTCCTCAGTGGGTTGGTTTGAGTTGCAGTCTACGTGATTCCTAGAGTTTCCAAAGGGTCCCATCCAGTGAACGCTAGTTGGCCGAAGCAGTAACTCTTTGTGGGGGGAGGTGGTGGTGTAGGGTGTAGGGTGAAGAATTGCCAGATGCCTAGGGTGCAAAAAATCAGGTGGTGCTCGCTCTCAGGTTTGGCCAGGTGCCTGGGGTACCTCATTGGTCTCACTCTAGGCCATACTCTGCAAACTTTACTGGGTCTTTTTTCTTCCAGTTTGCATTTCCCCACTCATTTGTACTTCTTGGGGACATCTTCACTGACCACCTGTGCCCTTGCTTCAGAGACATGCTTTTGGGGACCCCAAGTAAGATGTATGTGCAGGAGTAGGATTTTGGGGTCACAGGGTAGATCTGTACTTATAATATTGCCTAATCAGTGTTCTTTGCCAGAACTTTCCTCATTGATGGACATGTTCTGTATCTGTGCCATCCGAGGTAGAAATCCCCTCTTATCTGTGGGGGAGATGTTCCAACATCCCCAGTGGATGCCTGAAACCACAGATGCTACTGACCCCAATATGCTCTCTACTTTTCCTAGATGTACACATCTATGATAAAGTTGCATGTATAAATTAGGCACAACAAGGGATGAACAACAACTAACAATAGAACAATTGTAGCCATGTACCATTATAAGAGTTAGGTGCTTGTGGGCTCTCAAATTTTTACTGTACTAAAAATTTCTACCTATTATGGTTGATCATGGGTGACTAAAACCACAGAAAATGAAAGTGTGGCCAAGCCGTGGACTATCTAGCAACCACGAGTCACGTGGTGGTTAAGCGCTTAGAATTTGGTTAGTGCAATGGAGGAACGAATTCTCAGTTTCTTTCACTTTAAATACGGCAGCTGTATGTGTTTGGTGGTGCAGGTCTAAATACTCATCTACTGTTCTCCTAAACAGTCGCACCCGCTTCCCATCCTCTCGAAGTACCCAGAATTCCCACCTCTGCAATAGGGTGACTGCCTCAATCCTAGATCTGATTGAGATGAGGTCCTCAACCTTGACTGTGCCCCAACACAAATAGATGAGACTTTTGAGGCTCTGGAAAAGGCAAGCAAATTTTGCATATGCAAGGAATGTAAATACTTTGGGGCCAGAGGGAAACTACCCCCAACAATACTAAATGCGTATGCCAGGGTCATCCTGGTGGCGCAGGGGTTAAGGCTCAGCATTATAAGCTATTGCCAGCCACTGCAGCGTGAGCTCGATTCCCCAACCAGGGAGCTAACCCACATGGCATAGCAGACCTCTCCTGTCTCGCCCGCTGCTCCCTTCAGCAGTGTATTTCAGTAGATCCACATGTTCTGCTCTCCTCTCTGTCTCTGGTAAATCCTCTTACCCCACACGCCTCTGGCCTAAACCCCAGCTCTTGTATGCATTAATAAATAAAATAAATCTCTAAATGTGTATGTACCAAAGAGCAGAACTTAAAAATACATCAACCCAAAACCAGTTGAACAGAAAGGAGAAATAGAAAAATGCAAGTTATAGTGGGTAGTTCAATATCCCTCTTCAGAATAACTAGACAAAAAATCAGCAAGAATTTTTTGTATACTAAACAATACCATCAACCGAGAGAATCTAATTGACATTTTCAGAACATCCCACAGAATAGCTATAGAGTTTACATTTTTTCTCAAGGACACATAGAACATTCAACAGATAGGCCACATTCTGGGTTACAAAACTAACTGCAACAAATTAAAAAAAAATTAAAATGATATGGAAAATATTCTCTGACCACAATGGAATCAAACTAGAAATCAGTAACAGAAGGGTAATAAGAAAATCTCCAGGCATTTGGAATTCAACAATGTACTCTTGAATACCCAATGGTTCAGAGAAGGCTCAGGGCAAATGAAAATTACATTGAGCTGAATGAAAATGAAATCATGACATTTAAGAATTTGTGAGATATAGCTAAAGCAGTGTTTAGAGAGAAACTTATAGCACTAAATGCTTCTATTGCAAAAGGAGAAAGGTCTCAAATCAACAGTATAAGAATTCACTTCAAGAGATCAGAAAATGAAGAGTAAAATAAACCCAAAGTCAATAGAAGGCAAGATTAAAAAAAAAGAGTAGAAATCAATGAAATAAAAAACAGAAGAACAATAAAAACATTTAATAAAATCAAAAGCTGGTTCTTTGAAAATATCAATGAACTTTTTGCAAGACTGAAGAATTTTAAAAAAGGAAGACATAATGACCATGAGCAGAAAGAGAAGCCATCATTACAGAGCTCACAGATGTTGAAATAATGAAGGAATATCACAGGCCTCCCTGGGGGTGTAAGGGGTTAAGATGCAACCTATGAAGCTATTTGAAGCCACTGCAGTATGAGTTTGATCCCCAGTCTGCCAGGGAGGTACCCACATGGCGCAGCAACCTCTCCTGACTCGCCAACTGCTCCCCTCAGCAGCGTATTTCAGTCAATCTGCCTGTTCTGTTCCCCACTCTGTCTCTGGTGCATCCTTTCACCTCCCTGCACCTCTGGCCTGTACCCCAGTTATTGT